GTTTACGTATGCGTATGTATGCATGCATGTGTATAAACACATATGCGTGCATGCATGTATATATGTCTGTCTGTCTGTCTGTATGTCTGTATGTGTGTATGTATGCATGCATGCATACATGTATACATGTGTATATATGTATGGATGCATGTATGTAGGTAGGTCGGTAGGTAGGTATTTAGTATGCATGTATGTATGCATGCATGTATGCATGTATGTACGTGCGTACGTATGTACGTATGTATGTATACATGTGTGTATGTATGTATGTATGTATGCATGTATGTATGTATGTGTGTATGTATGTATGTGTGTATCCATGCATGTATGTATGTATGTATGCATGTATGTCTGTATGTAATGTATGTATGTATGTATGTATGTATGTATGCATGCATGTATGTATGTATGTATGTGTGTATGTACGTGTGTGTATGTATGTATGTATGTATGTTTGTATGTATGTATGTATGCATGTATGTATGTATACATGCATGCATGTATGAATTTCTGCATGTATGTTTATCTGTATGTATGCAAGTATGTACAAATGTATGTACGTATGTGTGTATGTCGGCAGGTAGGTCGGTTTTTCTCTATGCCAAGTGCGCACGTCTGTTTGCCTGCATGTTTGCATGCGTGTGTACACGAATGCATATGCACCACCATCGTGAGCAAGCGCCGTGCTCACACCTGGCGGCGAGCCCAGGCGGAAGGCCACGAGCGCGGGGAGAAACCGAACCCAGCGCGGCGTTGCCGCCCTCGCAGCAGTCCCGGCAGCGTCGGGCAAGCGATGGCAACGAGAGCGGCGGGCGGGCGGCGGCGGCGAGCTGGGACCTCGGGGGACACCGCTCGGCCCGCGGCCGACGCCGGCCAGAAGCGACACTGCGCCCTGCGCCGCCGCAGCGCAGGGGGCGAAAGCCTGGGCGACCTGGGAGAGTAAGCATCATCATCATCAGCATCATCATCATCAGCATCAGCATCATCATCAGCATCATCATCATCATCATCATCATCATCATCATCATCATCATCATCATCATCATCATCGAAGGGGATCTCCAAGCCGCGCGCAGGGGCTCACCTCTGCCCGCGAACTCGCCGCGCCCGTCTCCCGAAGGCCGAGAGCGATGAAGCCGCTCGGCCTTGGCCGCCCTTGGAAGCGCGCCCCGCGCATCCTGGGCCAGACGGTGAGGGCCAGCGCGCGCGAGGCCAGCGTGCCCCCCGGGGATAGCCGCGGCGGGGGGGCGGACCAGCGCACCGTCCGTGGGAGGCTCGAGGGGGGGGGGGCTCTTTGGGGACCTGCGCGGGCCTCACCTGACACAGCGGATCGACCGAGGGAAGTGGTTTTTGAAGTGCCCACGGGGAGGAGAGGGGTTTTGCAGGGTTTGGCTTATGTTGTCCCCATCCTACTTAAGGACCACATCCCAGAAATAATTTCGAGGACCAAGAAAAGGATCAAAAGAGTGTCGAAACAGTGTCGGGCGAGTGTCTCCCCAGGGCCCGACAGGTGAAAACCCTTGAGTTTCGGTACTTTTTGGGGCGCTCAAAATCTTTCCTGGTGATCAAGGCTACAGTAGGTTGGAACATCATAAGGTTTGGCCTCAAGGTGATCTGGGTCGTTCGCGGATAACGTTGAGGTCGATCCCGGTCGTCCGGGCCGGGGCGCCAAGGCGATTTGGGTCGTTCGCGCAGCATCGGTGGGGGGTCCTGGCGGGGAGGTGAGCGGTTCTTGAAATCGAGAAGCGGCGCGCCTGCGGGTGGCACGCCAGGTCTGCGAAGCAGGCATGTGGCAACCGGAGTCGTAGTGAGCAGTGCGTGGTGAGGAGGAGCATCAACGCAACGTGTACCCGAACCGTAAGCATTGTGGCACGTGAGCCGCCTCGCGCGGCGCGCGTCGCAGCCACCGTACTTTTAGCCTTGATCCTGTGAAAAAACAATGTATTTGAGACGAGAACATCGAGCGCAACTCGGGCCCTGGTACGACCTACGATCTGCCTGGACACGAGGAAATTATCGGTGCGCCGCGTGGCTGGCCTGCACGCGCCTTGCTGAGGGGCCACCGCGACGGCGTCCACCGCGTCAGAATCCACCCAGCCTTGACGGGATCTGCATGCCGAAAGTTCCAGTCACCACCGATGGCGAAGGGAAGGCCAGCAGCACCAAGCTTGCACGAGATGGCCCAAGTTTGATCGTCAGCGTCGACAGAGTGGATAAAATAAACGCTGACCAAAACCGAACCTCCCCTGAGCAAGCCTCCGACGCGGGGCAGCGATACTCGAGCGGGGGCGATCTCTCTGTCGAAGCGCATCGGAGTGCCGAACCCGACTCGCCCGACAGCTGCCGCGGCCAACCCTCCTGAAGGCATGCCTTCAGACCGAAGCGCCGCACGCGCAAAGGCTGACCAGCCCGAAACGCGCACCCTAGCGTCAGGAGTACAGTCGGGGCGTTGACCTAAGAAACCCTAAATAAGGAACGAGGCCCCTTTTTCCCGTAAGTTAACCTTCGATTTCCGATCGAAATCATAAGGAAAACCTCAGGCAAGCTGTGAAACACTTAAGGAACGCGGAGCCACTCCCCAACGAAAAGGGTTCCTTCTTCAAGACCCCGACTGTATTGGATGCCCGGGAAAAAAGCACGCGTCTCCTGCAACAGAAGACTGTCAGACAGAAGCGCTTCAGACAGGTACGCATCAAGGCCAGCCTGCCTGCCAACGCTGGGGGTGATGAAAGTCCACTGCTTGCGCTTGCGGAACAGCACACGGCTCCTTCGAGCATGCCTGGCCCCTTGCTGCAGACGTGCCAAACAGAGTCGTCGTAAACGCCTCAACGGCTGCCTCGCTGGGCCCTCAGATAGGATAGTACCTCACTGCTTGCGCGTGAGACGCCCCGTTGGGTAGGAGCGCACCCCGGCCCTCGTCAGTGGTTGGGCGCTGGAGGAGGAGGAGGAGAGGAGGAGGAGGAGGAGGAGGAGGAGGAGGAGGAGGAGGGAGAGGAGGAGAGAGAGGGGGAGAGGAGAGGGTAGGATCCCAGCCCTCGTCAGTAGTTGGGCGCTGGAGGAAGGAAAGAGCGCGGGCAGCCGCTGGGCGGCTCTGCGCACCAGCTGCGCTCCCCTGCCCCGCCCGTGACCCGCCGCCTCCCCTCCTCCTCCTCCTCCTCTCCTCCTCCTCCTCCTCCTCCTCCTCCTACTCCTCCTCCTCCTCCGCCTCCCTCCTCCTCCTCCTCCTCCTCCTCCTCCTCCTCCTCCTCCTCTCCTCACCCCCTCCCTCCCCCTCCTCCTCCTCCCCCCCCCCATCCCCCTCCCCCTCCCCTCCTCCTCCCTCTCCCCCCCCATCCCCCTCCCCCTCCCCCTCCCCCTAGCGTGGCAAGCGAGGCGCCAGGGTCAAGAGGAGAGGACGCCGTGGGGCCACTGCCAGAAGACGGCGCGGGCGGCGGCCTCCGCGGAGAGGCCAGGCTGCTGCGCTGGCCGTGGCGCTCAGGGTGTTCACGCACACCCTCCGCGTCGGCGGCGCCCATGGAGTCGTCGTCGGAGTCGCCGCCGTCGGCTGGCGGGAGCACCGCATGACGAGACGCCAGGAGCGAACAGAGCGACGACGCGGGGGAGGAATCCAGGGACTCGAGCTGCATGAGCAACGCAGAGCCAGGGTCGCCGGGTGTGCCTTCAACAGCACCCGCATCACCGCGCGGGGCACGCGCCCGCACCGAACCTGCGCCGACTGCTGCCCAAGCCGCCGTGGCCTCGCAGACGGGACCTTCTACCACTCCCACAAGCTGGAGAGCTTGGCCTTGAGCGTATCCAAAGGGAGAACCTGCGCACGCATACCCTCTGTCGAGGATGGTGCCAGCGTGCTCGGCGACCGCCCGGAGGTCTCCAGCTGCAAGTGCCCGCTGCGCGAGTACACGAGCACGCTGGCAAGGCAGAGCAATGCCTCAATCGCCTCGAAGTCCCCGGTGGACATGCGGACGAAGATGGCCAGCTTGGCGGGCTCCAGCGCCTTGGGTGTGCCCTTGGGCTTGCTGGTGGGCTGTGCGGGTGGTGTCCTCTGGGCCCAATCTCCGTGAGCCTCAAGGACAGGAGGAACCAGGCACAGGACACACTCATTTTGAAGCCGCCCTCCTTGCGCGGGCAGCGAATTGAGGAGTACAGAAGAAAGGATGTGGGGTGCAAGGGAAAAAGTGAAGCGGGCCGCGAAATCCCCCTCGCCAAAAGCTCTCGTCATATGAGAAAGTGCTACAGAATTGAGCCAGAGTGGCTACGGACCCTCCTCCGCCTCGTCCTCCTCCTCGTCCTCCTCCTCCTCCTCCTCCTCCTCCTCATCCTACTACTCCTCCTCTTCCTCCTCCCTGCCCTACCCGCGGCCGCCCTCCCGGCGGAAGCCCACATGCGGGGCCCCACGGGCAAGATCATGCGAGCGGGACCAAGGTGGCCGACAACGACCGGACCCCTGGCGCAGCCCCGATTCTTCACGGGCCGAGTGAGAAGCAGTTGGTGCGAGGATCAAGGGCAGTTGCCTTCGTGCTTCTCGCTGCGTGACGCGCGGGAAGCTTCGCGCTCTCTCGCGCCGCCACCTGGGGAAGAGGAGGAGGATGGGGGGATGAGGATGAGGATCATGTCGCAGGCACGGACTTTCCGGATCAGGAAGCCCGTCCAGCTCATTCGGCGAACATGCCCTGCGGAAAATCTGTGCAACTCCTCCTCCTCCTCCTCCTCCTCCTCCTCCTTGTCCTCCTCCTCCTCCTCCTTGTCCTCGTCCTCGTCCTCGTCCTCGTCCTCGTCCTCGTCCTCGTCCTCCTCCTCCTCGTCCTCGTCCTCCTCCTCCTCCTCCTCCTCCTCCTCCTCATTTTCCACTTCCTCCTCCTCACACCCGAGAGTTTCACGACGGCTGCATGTGTGTGTGTGCCCAAGGATAAACCAGACACTACCAGTCGGGCCAGAAAGTCGGGCAAGTCGGGCCTCCATGTTCAGGATCTTCACGGTCGCGTTCTCAGGCACGTACCCGTTCAGCGGACCCCTCGCCAGCGGCAACACCTCGCCCAACGCGGGATCCGCGTACGCGTGCGGGTTGCTGCCGATCCTGAGGCCGGGACACCAACGAAGCGCCCCTCCACCCCGAGGTGGGGGGCTGGGATCCTCAAATGAGCCTGCTCAGGGCGTAGGGTGGACACTCAGGGCGTAGGGGGGACAACGACTATAATTACACCGACGCGCCTCCGATCGTGGAGAGGCCCGTGCAGGGCCCAGGACTGGTCCAGTGCACCTCCTGGCAGAGCCAGGAGGGCGTATACTCCGATCCTGGTCTCAGGTCGGGCATGTCCTGCTACAGGCGGTGGAGGGAAAATAAGAAATCGTCAGAGAAAGCTCGAGGATGTCCAAAACTAGTCGAAACATCGTCCCCCGAATATTCCTCCTGTAGAGGGACAGGCCCGACGGAACCCTGGCCCCAGGAGGGGCCTCGCCAAGACGTGCACTTCGACATCATTCGGCGTGGCCTCCTCCTCCTCCTCCTCCTCTTCCTCCTCCTCTTCCTCCTCCTCCTCCTCCTCCTCTTCCTCCTCCTCCTCCTCCTCCGCCTCCTCCTCCTCCTCCGCCTCCGCCTCCGCCTCCCAGGCTGCGACAGCGCCGCGGTGCCCGTCCGCATGTGGGTGGAAGGGCGGGAGGGGCAGGGCGGCGGGGGCGGCGCGACGCCGAAATAAAGTG